GGACCGTGTTGCTGTACAAGAAGGGAGACCTGGACGACATTGGCAACTATCGCCCAATCTGCCTGCTGTCTGTAATCTACAAGCTATTCACTCGAGTCATCCTTAACAGGATCGGCAGAATACTAGATGAAGGACAGCCATGCGAGCAAGCAGGGTTTCGAAGAGGGTTCAGCACGATCGACCATATCCACACGGTTACAAGACTCATTGAAGTTTCACGAGAGTACAAGATGCCGCTTTGTCTCACGTTCATCGACTTGAAGAAGGCCTTCGACTCTTCTGGTGGAGGACAGAGAACGGTCAGTCGAAACGCTTGGGCACGCAGGAGGCGTGCCCTGATACTCAAGGAGTACATCAAAATGGCTTCGTGACTCTACAGGCAACTGTAAGCGAAACCAGAACAGCACCATTCTACACAGAGAGTGCACTATCGACGGTCAACATACAAAGGGGGTTCGACAGGAGGAGCGAGACGACTAGGAGGGAGGGAGGGAGGGATGAAATTCCAGCTCGGCAATAAATTAATAGACGCATACAGGAAATCGATTAGTGGCGTCAACAATCGGAAAGTGGAGGAGGATGGGAGGAGATAGACCGACGAAGGTACACCGAAATGACGGTATGCTGAGAGACGAATCGTATGAAAAATCGAACATAGAGAAAGCGGGAGCGAAATGTGAAGGCTGGGAGTCACAGCGCCTGTGGTACAGCTCGCTCCACCAGCCTGAACCTAACGAAGACGACTGTTCTATGAAGAAATAAATGAATACGCTCTATACATATCTGAGCGCTCACCACGCACCGCACACATCACGCCACTGCTAAAAGAAACTAACGTAACCCTAGGTAAAGGGAAAATAACTATATAAAGAACGAGATGCGAGCTCGAGCTAGCAAGAACACGAGAGGGAAGCGTATAAGAAAAAATGATATACAAGAAGAAGGACGAAGAACATCCGGCTCCGTGCCACCTCCGTGCCCGATTCGATTCCGCTGTCCTTCCTGCCCTAACCTACGCCTCAGAGACTTGGACTCTGCGCAGGCAGGACGAGCATGCGGTCAGCGTTATCCAACGCGCTGTCGAGAGGACGATGCTAGGAGTAACCCTATACACGCAAGTGCAGAGGGGAATCCGGAGTTGCCGAACTACGCCAACGATCGAAGATCAGGGACGCTGCCGTTTTCGCCAAGGAATCGAAGATAAGGTGGGCCGGACACGTCATGCGATTCTTCGTATAATGTATGCTATAGAGCACGCATACCGTCAAACGACCACCTGGACGACTGCCGGCGCCGAAGGGGTCAGACTTCTCACGAAATCTGTACGAAAAAAGAAAAGGAAAGGACACCGCTCGAACGAGGAGAGGAGCTGTTAAGCGCGCGAAGGGAGAGAGACGTTGCTGGCGCGCCGCTCGAGCAATCTCCGATGATAGAGTGCCGGGCGGAACGACAGCGTGACAGGTGAGCGAGGTGTAACCTTCAAGTTGCATCAAAGATAGAAATACATATAAGTTGATTGTTTTTGAATCGCAGCAAGAAAGTAAATTACAGGAAGATAAGGAGCTGCAGCCACGCGGAGGCACATTCTCGCATTGGATCGATCACACGAAGGGCCCAAACCAGAATCAACTAAGACGTTCGCACTTTTTCAGAAATTTCGCGATCCCCTTCCTTCAGAGGGGGGGGGGTCTCGCTGCGATCCCCACCATCACCATGATATTCAGTAGCGGAGGCATCCCTAATAAGACCACCTTTCTCCCTACTCCGACCACCACCCTTGCCATCCCGGCTATTGTTTCTATACTATTTGATCGACACAACCCAACTCCGCCCCGCCTACTTTCCCTCCAAAAGTGGGGTTGAGAGGGGGGGGGGGAGTTATTAGTACAATTAAACCGCATTTCTCTAGCTCCACGACAGCTATTCAGACCTCTCAAGCACTGGCGCATAAATTAACAATCACTGGCCAATTCTCGCAAGACCGACACTAACGCCCGCTCACGATTGATTTCACTGCAAGCCAAAATTTACTAATTGCCCAGTGACAGGCCTTGATGCGATTACCCCTTCCCCAAAACCAACCACAAATGCGAATCCTGTCGAATAGTGTTGAAAAGCGTGAGCCCGGAGATTGACACCCTGGCCCAAACAGTGTCCTTGAGATGATCCTTCGCCTCTAGTACCTTCTTTGAAATGTTCCTTACAATGTCATGGTATTCAGATTCTGTAACGAATCCATTGCATAAAAAATGTATCGTGTCCCTATACACACTGAGCCAGGAAGGTGCACCTGCACCCATGGTGCACGCGACAGGAGTTTTTCTGGAAGAATGTTATATTTGTGCCCAAGGTGTCAGGTTACCCCTGCAGGCAATTTTAAGAGAATGTTAAGCATGGCATTCAGGATATACTGAGTCATGGGTAAGTTGTTAACAATTATTTACCTGCCAGCGGTTCGAGACGATAGCTCATTGCAGCAAAAATGTAGAATAGTTCTAGCTTTACACAGAACTTCAAACTGACATGAGAAGAAAACTTCTATGTATTGAGGGTTAAACCACAATCAGCCTCCTTGGAGGTGATTCTTTGACTTCATTACAAGATTCTGATGATCCTCTCCACGCATTTTGCAATGAGGTTATTTTACACATGTATCCTACCATCCTATATGTATAATTACGCTAAGTGTGTGTGTGTGTGTGTGTGTGTGTGTGTGTGTGTGTGTGTGTGTGTGTGTGTGTGTGTGTGTGTGTGTGTGTGTGTGTGTGTGTGGTGTGTGTGTGTGTGTGTGTGTGTGTGTGAAATTCGTAGCTCGGGTCACAGCAACGATAGCGCCATGGTTCTTACATATGTTATAGGGGGTGGGATGGGGACACAAGTGGTACGTGATAGGAACTGATAACGACTGATAATAGCTGATAAGAGGGGCTAGAAAGCGAGCATCGCCAATTTCGTTTTGTCGTTCATATTGGTACTAGAGCGTCTATACTTACAAGTGTTATGTGGGGTGGTCCCGGGACATTGGTGGTACATGAATGAAAGCGATAGCAACTGATAAGAGCTGATAAGATGCGTTAGAATCCGAAAGTCGTCCGATTGTCGACCAGCTTCTGGCATGGCACTAGAGCGTCCCATACTTACAAGTGTTATAAGGGGTGGGACGGGAACATTGTTGATGGGTGATGGAAGTGATAACAATTGATAAAGGCTGATAAGGCGCGTCAGAACGCAAAAGTCGTCGATTCCGTTACCCAGCTCGCGTTGACACCAGAGCATCCATACTTACAAGTGTTATGTGGGATGGGACGGGGACATTGTTGGTAGGTGATGGAAAGTGGTTACAACTGATAAAGGCTGATAAGGCGCGTCAGAACGCAAAAGTCGTCGATTCCGTTACTTGGCTCGCGTTGACACCAGAGCAACCATACCTACAATACCATACCGCCCCTAATTTCTGGTAAATCGACAGATTTCAGCGCACTAGTCCGTCGCAATCCGTCGCTTCGCCATAACTGCTGTAAAAATGGTTTAAATGATTTGAGTTTGGAACCATTAGATAGCAATTGTCAAGGCGAATCCAATGGTCTAGTTCGTTTCGGCTTTCCTTCGAATTTTTAGCCTTATTTTTGCAAAATTCGGAGTTTGAGTCTCTGCTTGCCAATAGCAATACCTGCGGACATAACACCGTCATCAACCCTCCAGTGCGACTAGGATTCTCGATCGTAGGGTTGGAAAATCAAAAATATCAGCATATTTGGATAGATCTCGAATCCGTGATCATTTCAATATCCATTTTCATAAGGATTGTGCATATCCGAATTGAAATCGAAGTTTCAGGTAATTTTTTCAATTACTTTCTCATTTTTATTGTCTACGGGTGTGTATGGAAGACATAAGCGATGTTACAACCGAGCAGCTCACTGGTTCTTACAAACGCTCATTAGTTTGTCATGATATGGTTATCACTAACATTTCAGAATTATTCGTGCATGTTTATCTTCAGTTGAACCTTGTGAGATCGGAATTTAATGGGACAAATTGAAAGCTACACATCGCCATAATGGATGTAATAACTGCTATCGAGAAATGTAACACTTTGTTCTAATATTCAAACTTTTTTCTCCAACGTGGAGCCAATGCGTTGACCCCTTGCTATCGATCTCTTTTGGACCATCGACTCTGCAGTGCCACGTCCGTTCTGAGATCTGAGAAACATTCACCTCTGATGTGTAATTAGACCACGGTGAAACAGGCTTTGATTTGCATTTTCCATATAGTCTTTTAACCTGATATTGATAGGGACTTGGCAAATTTCGACTTACAATCGATGCTTCAGTGAATTTTTTTCAGCACTTTATTGTCTCTTTGCAGCCTAAGGGAAACAATTTGTACACACAAGTACACGTTGTATTGTTTCACGTACAGATATGTTCTCAGCGAATTCAAAACCCCTATGGTTGTTTGCCCCCCGGTTCCCTTACCAGGAACCAACGGGGGGCCGGATACTATTAAGAACCGGCCGAATTGGCTCAGAAGCACACAGTGCATGTCAACGCCTCTGATATGGATCAGAATGGCATTTGCAAACAATGCGCACGACGGAGGATCCGAACCCCTTCGAATCCCCAAGTCACGAGCAGCTACGAAGCGCAACCACACGCTCTGAGCCATTCGACCGGTTGCTCGGGCGGACTAATTTGCGAATCTAGTGATGACGGCTGTGGCCGGCTGCCGCCATTCAGAACACGAGACCGTTTGATTGATCGACTCCCTACAAGTCAATTGATTGTCTGCCACACTGTATTAACTGTGCTGAACAAAATATTTTACATGGATTAATATTTATTAAAATGGCATCAAGTACTGAATAGATTTCAAATAATAATTTTAGATTCAAGAGTGTAAAGTCCCGAACAAGACGCTGAACGTTACGTATATGTATTTTGATTGCAAACTGGACATGTTTTAAATACAAACAAGAAAGGATTAAGTGGAAGTAATTAGAAATGCATGTCAATTTTTCTCGAAGGATTTGAGCCTTGCGCTTTGTTCGATGTAGGAGTGGGCGTCATTGCAAACAACAGTTCTGAAAATAATTACATTTTAACTCCGCAGCTGCAATTCACTTACCTTCAACTATGTTTCGTCCTCCTTGCTCTATAATACGCTCCATCCTTTTCCTTATACCGCCAATGTATTTCGAGCAGACTTCTGGCGTCAGCGTTTTCCAGTACTGCGCAATAGCCACCTTAAGGCCATCCAAAGTACGGATCCCCTGCTTCCTGAATTCAAGTTACTGAATGCTGTTTTCAACTGCATGACAGCCTAAAGGCTACCTTATGCTGTTTTTCATGTTCCCCCATACTAGTTCAATAGGATTGAGGTCTGGTGACTCCGCAGGCCATGCCAGTGTGTCGACCCCCCAGTTCTTGAGCATTTCACTCGTATAACGACTTTTGTGAGGCGGAGCATTATCTTGTACAAGACGACAATAGCCTGAAGTGCACTGTTGCGGAACTGCGGAGAAAGGTTTGTTAAAACATGTCCGAATAAACAAACCGTTATAGACCCTGGATTTGAAAGGAAGGTAACACTTTTCCAAAATCCTACAATACAGATTGCTATCGATTCGACAGTTTCCTGGTAGTATAGCGAATCGCGTGGTTCCTCGAGCTGAGATACCACCCCAAATATGGACTTTCGCCGGATGCTTGGCTCGATTGCGCATTCTTGAGTATTGGTCTCCTTGTTTTACGTAGCAAAACTTAGTGGAGCAGTCAACTAAAATTGCTTATATGTCGTTTCGACATCAAATCAAGACCAGTTATTTAAAATTCACTCACTTTGAACTGTGCATTCGTCAGTAAAAACACAGTCGGAGAATCCTACTCCACCTTCGAGCATTTCTCTGCAGAAATCCAGACGAGCCAGCTTATTAGCATCCCTTATTGTATGACAATACTTGGTTGTCGTTTTCTTGAACCCCAGTTTTTGTCGGAGTCTCTTGATATGCGTGGTGCTGACCATTATTCCACGCGTTTTAAGGCGGTTCACTACATCTATCGCTGTTGTAGAACTATTGTTCTTATAACACCTCTCAATTTCCATAAGAATTTCACCGTAATGAACTGAAACAAACCGTTTTCATTCGAGGCCTCGTGCTGTTAGAGACTTTTTGTGGGGACGCAGGCCTTCGAACCTCTTTATGAATCGAACAACCGCTTGATAATTTAAGGACGGTTCAATCTGAAACCATTCCACAGTTTGAACTTCAAGCATTTTAGCACGATGAAAGAAAGACAAAACTCGCCTTCTGCAGATACAAAAATACTGAACGAATTGATTTTCCCTGTTGTCTCAGCTCCACGATAGTGGTGATATGGTTGAAAAGTTTCTCACTCATCTAGAGTCGAGGATTCATATCCGAAGGGTAGAAGAGCAGTCATTAATGAACTGTGAACTAATTAAAGAGATATAGTAAATAAAAAGAACGAGTGTTGCGGCCGCCAGTGGGCAGAAAGCCTTGTGCTAATGAGGTGAGAAGAAAGGCGGAACCTCCTAGCGGCCTAGCACTTCCATCGGAGTCCTTCTTCGAGTCTTCAGGCCACACTTGAGGATAAACGTGTTGCATATCCATGTGACCCTCAGTGACCCTCTGCCAAACAAAGGGTTGAAAGGCTGATATAAAAACTCGGAATTGACGGTTTGGGGAGGTTGCTTC